CCGGAACTCCGGCAGACCTGCCTCCCAGCTCTCTCCCCGACATGTCAGTGGCCCCTCCCTTCCGACGGCCCGGCTTTCCCGCAGCAGACAGCGTGGCTGCCAGCGGCCCCCCACGCTTTCCTCGTCACAGCTTCAACTTCGTTGAAAGAGGCGGATCTGGTCTCCAGGGTGAGGATCCAGGGAGGGAAAAGGTGCCCGACACCATTGGCCCACAAGGGAAACACAAACCAAAACCACCGTGAGACACCTCTTCACACCCAGTGGGACGGCTGCGGCCAGAAGGCAAACAGTAACAAGTGTTGGTGAAGAGAGAGAGACATCAGCCCTGGCTGGTGTGGCTCAGTGGATTGAGCACAGGCCTGTGAACCCAAGAGCCTGTAGGTGCGATTCCCAGTCAGGGCACATGCCTGGGCTGTGGGCCAGGTCCCCAGTGGGGGGCCCTCAAGAGGCAACCACACATTGATGTTTCTCTCCCTCTCTTTCTCTCTCCCTTCCCCTCTGCCTAAAATAAATAAATAAAATCTTTTTTAAAATATGGCGGCATCAGAACCCTAATTTATTGCTACTGTGATTGTAAAATTTCACAGGCACCTTCGAAAACAGTCGGCCAGTTCCTCACACTCTCAAACACAGAGTCATCACACGACTCCTAGAGAAACAGAAACGGCCCGTGCAAAAACTTTTCACCAATTTTCACAGCAGAATTTATTTCCAGCAGCCAAAAAGTACTAACCACCCAAATGTCCATCAGCTGCCGGTAAAACAAAAGGTGGCGCCCCCACGTGATGGGGCGCTCTTCATGCATAGAAGGGGTGGAGTCTGACAAGTTCGACCATGTGGGCGGGCCCTGCACCCAGTGCGCTGAGCAGGTAGTCGGCTCCGCCCACTCCAGCGTCCCTGGGGCAGGAGCCACTGCAGCAGGGCAGTCCTAGACACGAGAGTGGATTGGTGGGTGCCTAGGGCCGGGGTGTGGAAAGGTCACTGACGGCTAATGGGTGTGAGCTTTCTTTCTGGGGTGAGGAGAATGTTCTAAAGTTAGACTGCTAATAGTAACACCACTCTGTAAATACAGTAAACCATGGAAGTGTATGATTTCAATGGGCAAATGTTATGGTGTGTAAATGATGTCTCAATAAAGCTGTTAAAAAATGAGGTCCCTGGCCAGGTGGGTCAGTTGGTTACAGCATCATCCCAATTCGCAAAGGTTGTGGGTTCAGTCCCTGGTCAGGGCACATGTAAGAACCAACCGATGAGTGCATAAGTAAGTGGAACAAAAAGTCGATGTTTCTTTCTGTTTCTCTCTCTCTCCCCGCCTCTCCTTTCTCTCTCTAAAATCAATAAGTAAAATATTTTTTAAAAATGAATCCAGGAAAAGAACTCTCTGACCCAGTTTGAACTTGCTGTGACCGATTGGGGCAGGGGCAAGGGGGAGGTTTTGTAAGAATCTGGCGGCGCCTCTGGACAGAGCTGGCATCGTAATGGTGGGGGAGGGGCCCACCACACTGGGGGGCTGTGGAGAATTTGCATTTTCCCAGACAAGGCATCTAGTGTTGCTCCTGAATTATCTCAGAGTCATCACAACCCCCTAAGTTACCACATTTTTGGGACCATAAGATGCACCTAGGTTTTAAAGGAGGAAAATAGGAAAAAAATTTCGAAGCAAAAAATGTGGTACAATATTTAATAACATAAAAAACATAATATTTCACCAATGTAAATGTAAACAGAACTCAACAGCAGCATTAACAACCATTATCCCTCCCAAATTTGGGGGGGGGGACATGTGTTTTATAGTCCAAAAAATACGGTAAGTCTGTAATGCCTATTTTATATTGGCAGAGGCTCAGGTTAAATAACTTTGCTGAGGCGTGGAGGGATCCAACAAGAAGGAGAAAGGACTCATGGACACGGACAGCAGTGTGGGGACTGCGGGGTGGGGGTGGAAGTCGTGTAAGGGGGATGATGGTGATGGAAAAAATGCGATAAAAATAAGTTAAAAAATAGCAATAGCTTTGCCAAAGTCACTCAATTATTTAGTGAGTCACATGGGGCCAGGACCCAGCCCCGAACTGGACACCAGTCTCTTCTCTCAATCGTCAAGCCCTGCTGCCGCCCTCTGGCTGGACACGAGCTATTGAAAACTTCCGGAACACACCGCAGGAGCCCAGACTGCAGGTCCGTCTCACGTTCATGTATGTACTCTTTCACTGAAGGAGACCCTGCTAACAGGAAGACCTTGAACTTCCTTTGCTGGCAGAGGACCCACCGTCGGCACTCTTTGAGGAGCCCCAGGACACGGCGAGGGCTGTCCGGCCCCTGCCAGCCACACGGCCGTCCCCGCCACCCCCCTTCGGCCTGCCAAGGGCATGAAGAACCAGGCCAAGAGCACAGCTTGCGAAAGTCACGACGCAGGAGGCCTGTGGCAGTCCCCCGATCCGCCAGCCAGTTAACCCTCCCGGAACCAGGCATCAGGTTCACTTGGCAAGACACAAGCTTAGTTTGTAACCACCAATGCAGCTTAGTTTCCAAGCACGCACCAGCTGTCCACTGAGCAATTTGCTCTCGGGTCCTGCCAGCAGTTGGACGGCAGGATCAATGGACGCCAGGCCTGTCGGTCTGTGGTTTCTCGGGCGCCTCTCCTCTTCTCTCGACACACCAACACAACAGTTTCCCTCTCTAGTCCCTTGATGCCTCTCTGTGGCACCACGATTTTGCAGCAATCACGGACAGAGGCACCACAACCGGCCCCCTGTCTCGGGGGTGGGATCTGGGTCATCCTGTGATCTGGACCCAGGGGGGACAGCTGGGCGCTGGCCTGCTCTCCCGTTCCCTCTCTCCAGCCCCGGATCCTGTTTACCCACACTCGTCCCGGCCTTTCCAACGCATGCTCCCCGTGGAGAAGGCAAAGCGTGCAGAGATGCGTTGTTCTACCTCTCTCCGTCGTCTGCTGCCAGCACACCATCTGCCCCAGCAGTGGGGCTAGCTTTCCTCCTCGTCCTTCCTGCCAGCCGGTCCGTCGCCCTCGGCATTCGGCACCAGCCTCGACCCCCCTGGCGTGGAACCTTCCTGACGCTTTCTCGCAACCTCCCCCCTGCCCCCGCCCGCATTGGTCACAGCAAGTTCAAAGCTGCCTGCTTTGTCTCCTCCCACAGTCTCGTGCCCAGTGGCCGCCTTTCCGTCGCAGTGTCTGGGACTCCAGCTGGCGCGATTCACCTCTGCGGGGCAGCCTCCTTCTCCTCCTCATTGCGAGTTTCAGAACTTGGGGCCATCGGCTGTGTTCTTGGGGCCTCCCAGCAACAGAGACCGTGGTGCCCAGAATGCCCGGGTTAAAGTGATGGTCTCTGTTGTTCACACAGCTGGGTGTGTCACGATAGCACTAGGACTTGGGGTACTCACGCTGTTTGCATTTTGTAGACCAGGAAACTGAGGTCGGAGGAGCATCCCCCAGAGTCACACGGTTACATGATGCTGGAGCTGCATGTGCCTTCAACCCTGGCCGTCTAACTCCAGACACCGAGTTCTCAGCCACGTCCCTGGGGGCCAGTGCTGAGCACGGTGGCAGAGAAGCAAACCCAGCATCGGAGCTCCCCGAAGGAGCTATTGCGGACCTCTGTCCCAGTGGCATGACTGAGACACCTGGAGCCAGGACAGGGTGCCTGGATGCGGAAGGAGAAAGGGGACAGCTCTCCGGGACAGGAGCCTTCACAGTGTCCGAGGCTCAAATGAGATCATCTGCTTACCCAGCCCCCTTCCACATCCTCCCTGGAGGGAGCCCAGGACTCGGGGGTCCCCTCAGAACAAGCGACCTCAAGCCTCACTGTTTCAGCAGTGGCGGTCCCTGGTCACCCTAAGCTGTCTCTGCTCCAGGCGCCCAGAGGGCCCGGAGCCGGGGAGATGGAGTCTCTGGCTTCGGCCAACAGAGTTGGCACCTGCTCTTTGCTTCAAACAGCCTTTAAATTATCTCGATAAAGAAGAGGCTAAACACTTGACCGCGGGAGAGTGTCTTATTGATTGGAGGAGACAGGCTCTGGCCTGCCTGCCCTCAGCGGAGGGGGACCCAGGCCAAGCCGGCCCCGGGGCCGATGCCAGGGTGTGAAGTACTTTAGAGACTGTCTCGGAGCTCTGAGCTGAGCCAGCACGGCAGCTCTGGGGACTGCACTCCGGCGCCTGTGGTCCTCTCACTCCGTGTGGTTTGTGGGAGGGACGGGAGCAGCAGGAGCGGGTTTCAGTCTCAGCTGCACCCGCACGAGGGCGGTCCACAGCCGCCCCTGAGCCTCGGTCACCGTGCATCGGCGACAGGGTGGTGGAGCTCTGGGGCGGTCGGTGTGTAGAAGTGCTTTGTAAGTTACAAATATCCACATCGGTAGAAGGCGGATTTATTATAGGTTATGTTGTTATCACAAATGAGACCGTGTTCTTTTCTGCCTAAAACTCACCCGTGGCTCTTCGCTGTACTGGCGGTGAGACCCGCACTCCTCACTGTGGCCCACTGGACGCCTCATGGTCTGGCCCCTGCCTACCTGCCGCCCCCACCACCTTCTGCCATCAGCCCTGCTGGTTCTTTAGCCTTTTCTAGAGCAGGACAACTCCTTCTGCCTCAGGGCCTCTACACTGTCTGTTCCCTCTGCCCACACACTCTTCCCCAAGGGTGTTGCGCGGCTAGACCCTTTATGTTTGGTCTCAGCTGAAATGCTCTCAGAGAGGCCTTTCCCGACCACACTCCCCCGCCTGGCATGGCGCCCACGCCTGCTCCCCTCATGGCAGTAACCGCAAGTCGTCCCCTTGCAGCACGTGGGCCCCGGGAACGGCAGGATCTTGTCTGTTCTGCTCCTTCCCAGTTCCTATCCCAGTGCCTGAGCACAGTGGGCACTCCGAACGGTTGTTGAGTGCGTGAATGGATGGACGGATGAGCAAGTGGATGAGTGAATGACTGGCAGGGGAGTCTGGCTTGTCTCCCGAATGGCCCCCCTCCCTTACCCCTGCCTCTGCCTCTGCCTCAGGTACGGAGACATGGTGCCCAAGACCATCGCCGGGAAGATCTTTGGGTCCATCTGCTCCCTGAGCGGCGTCCTGGTCATCGCCCTGCCGGTCCCCGTGATCGTCTCCAACTTCAGCCGGATTTACCACCAGAATCAGAGAGCGGACAAACGCAGGGCACAGAAGGTGAGCCTGCGCCCCGGGGCAGGGTGGATGCTGGACCGGAGAGGGCCCTGGTCCTTTGCCTGGGCCCCTGTCACAGGCGGGCGGCCCGGCCTGGAGCCCCTGGGAGGGCCGCGACACAGACGGCCTCTGGCTGGGAGAGGCAGCTTCGCGTCCCTTCCTACCTGCCCGCACCGCCTCCCAGCCCCCAGCCCCCGCCGCTGCAAAGGGCAGCAAACCCCCAGTCATCCAACAGCGGTCGCCTCCCCTTTGGAGAGTCTGGGCGATCTCCTCCGGCCCCGGCTCCCCTTCCAAGGCCGCAGCCGCCGCCACTCAGCAGTGCCCCTGACGCCTCCCTCTCCCAGCCAGGAGCTTCCTGAGGGACATCATCGCTTTTCAATACCCAACAATAGCCTATACAAAGCATGGTGACAAAAATAAATTTGCTGAAAAGAAAAATGAATCCTCTGAAAGGAGAACATTCGGAGGGCATTGAGCTCAAAGCAAATGGCACAGCAGGCGTTAGGACCTCAGGGTATCTCGGGTCAAGGCACAGCGCTGCCCCTGAGGGTCAGGAACATAACCATGGGGCCTGCAGAAGTTTGGGGGTGTCCAGTGTGCCCTGCTGGTGAGGGCAGGGAAGGGTGAGCCCCCTCCCTCACCCACAGAGTGGGCAGAAATGGCAGAAGGCTTGGATGACTTTGCGGACCGGCCCCCCAGCCCCCACCCGTGCATCCAGAGCAAACCGGCCGGCGGTGCTCATCGGCATTGTTAGTGCGTCTGGCTGGTGCAGGTTTGCGGTCGTGACCTTCGTGAGGAAAGGGGAGGACTGAGGGGACACTCTGACCCTTTCAGAGCATCTCACCCTCCAGGGGCACCTTCCGGGCACACTGGCTGCGGAGGACCTCGTGGAGAGGGTCACTTCTGGAGGCCTGAGGTTCCGTGTCCTCACTCGATTCTTTCATGAATTCACCCCTCAAACATGTGCTGTGCACCTCCTGTGCACCAGGTCCCCGCCCCAGGCCCCTGCTCTGGCCTTCCTCTCCCAGGGTGGCCCCCACGCAGCGGGCCCCCGGCCTGTCAGAGGAGTGCAGGCTTTCAGGACGGATCAGTGCGTGCTCGCTGGGCTAAAACCACCACACGCGCAGGGGCTGGCTCCAGAGAGCGTGCTCGTCTGCACGTCCCAGTGCTCCACAGCGGAATACACAGCAGCAGAATCGCATAATTGTGCACCAGATCCCAGCACCACCCTCTCGTGTGACCTTGTGACCACGCCCTCCTTGCCCCGCTGCCTCCCTCCTCCGCCTGGACTGAGATGTATCTGGGCTCATCTGGACCCCGGGTTTGCGCTGCGGCCAGGCCTGAGCCGCCCTGTGCTGTCCCCTCTGCCTCCCAGCGCCCATTTCCTACCTCCTCACCCAAGGTCAGGACTCCCCCGCCCCTTCCCCTGCTAGCCGCCCCAGAAACAGAAGTCTCATCTCTTCTTCCCTGTCCCCTCCAGTGGGCCAGCATGAGCAAGCTCCACACTCACTGTGCCCATGAGCGAGGGGCAGGGAGACACTGGGGTGACCTTCCAAATCTGGGAGCCTGAGGCTCAAAAGGCCAGGGCCTGCAGCAGCTCCCCCCACCACAGGTGAGGGCTAGGAGTCACTCAGGTAGGTATTCGGCCTAGCAGGTGAAGTTCAAAGGCATCCTCAGCTCACACGGGGGCCAAGGCCGCACCCACGACAAGCCCCACCCGAGCCGTGTTCTCGGCAGCTCCCTTTCCCTCCACACCCACGGCCCCACCTGCTTCCCAGAGCATCTCGTCCACGCATGGTGTGGCACAGTGGCCGTTTCCCGTGGGACTCGGGAGAACTCCTCCTGTGTGACTACAGCCCAGAAGGAGTCAGCTTGGCACACTCCTCCCTCCGCTGAAGAGGAGGCTCCCCCCTTCTCCCCTCTGCCTGCCCCCCCCCAAGTTAAAGTAAATATTTACCGTATTTCCACTTCCCTGGACACTGTCTCTCCTCAAGGTTGCTCAGTCTGTCTCTTTCACCTCTCACCCTGGGCTTCCCGTGAGAGGGGGAAAAGCAAATAATGCAAGAATACTGCCTGCTTCTAGAATCTGTCACCATGAGGCAAGGAAGGCGGGGCCAGGGCACTCAGTGGGTCGTGGAGAGATGGCACAGGATGGGGGTCAGGGAAGCCGATGCTCGTTCTCAGCCCAGACCGCATACTCAGGCGGCAAACGGCTCAGCCCACCTGCCTCGGAGGTGAAGGCTCCGAGTCGTCACCCGCCCCCTCCCGGCTGCTGTGCTTGGGATGACCACTAACGTCACTCCATGACGGCTTCCGAGACGGTTCTCTGAGCCGGGTGCCTCAGAGATCCGATGAGGAGGCCGCGCAGTGGACAGGGCGCAGGGAGCATCTGGAGTGAGAGACTTGGTCCCCTCCCCCTTTTATTTTAGATGGTCACACCCAGGGCATGGACGCTGACGCAATCAGCCAGGCTGGCTGTGCGTGTGCACGTAAAGTTTTCCACAACGCTAGCACCTCTGCAGGTTCCTGCACCCACCACCACCCCCTTACAATCACACCCTCCCACCCGACCACCGCGCTGTCCCTAACCTCTCTCTGACAGCCCTTGGCGCGTCCTCCATTTATAAATTGTTTTCACTTCAAAAATGTCACATGAATGGACTCTCAAAGGCAGCGACCTTCGGAGCTGACTTTCTTCCATCTGCGCGATTCCTGGACACTCCTCCCAGTGTGTGTTCGCGTAGTCGTCCCTCTGCGGCTGCGCGGAATCCAGGATGCACATGCGCCGCAGTCCGCGTAACCCTCCGCCAGTCCACTGGGGGAGGGGCTGCAGGGGCCAATCCCACTTTGGAGTTCCTGTCTGCCGTGAGCATTCGCGTGCAGGTTCCCCTGTGAACCCGGTTTCCATTGCTTTGGATTAAGGCCTGAGTGTGAGAATTCCCTGTTCTCCCTCGGCCTCCCCCAGAGCAGGAGTGCTGCAGCCGTGGCCAGAGGGCGCCTGCAGCCCGACAGCTGGGAAGGGCTTGTTGGGGACGGGTCTCCAGGGGACTGCCCTCCAGGGGACCGACAGGTACCCCAGCAGGACTGTACTTGGAACTGCACCCGGAGCGGCGGCGTCCTGCATCCAGACCCCTCCTCCGACGCCAGCATCTCCACTGCTGTGAAGACACGGCTCCCCGGGCTTGGCGCACCAAGTGCACACATGTGGCGGCCAGTGGCTGAAATTCCGGGGAGGAGCCGGGCTGTCGCGGAGGCCGCAGCGTCTGGCCTGGACGGCATTGCACCTGAGCTGAAGTCTTGCTAGTTCGCCGCTTAGCCCCAGGCCCGCCCTTCCCCGCACGCCCTCCGTCTCCTGTCTTTGAAAAATCCCGATAATCACAAATTCTCTCTGACTCTCATGCTGTGCTTACGGCCGTGGCGGAGCGTGAAGCTGACTGGCCCACGCAGCGATGGAGCCTGTTGCAATGGCTTTATTAACACGCATTTCCGACACCCCAGGTGGCCTCTTCCTTCCCGGGCCACCCCACGCCCAGCCGAACATCTGCTCAGGGCGAAGCTCTGTGCCTCGCGCGGGAGATGCACACACACGGGAGCCGCATGCGCCGGCTGTGGGGAGCCCAGAGCCGAGCCAGGGAGCCTCACCGCGTCCAAGTGCTGGGGTTGGTTCTGTAAACACGTTGCGAACCTCGATCCTGCATGGGAAATGATTAAACGATACAGTACATTTGATATGACAATCTGTTGCTTTAATAGAGCCCAGGGTAAGATAAGATTAAAAGAAGTGCCACAAAGGAGAACAGGAGAATCTTTCATCTCTAGAAAGTAATGAAGACAGACCCCAAACCCGAGAAAGGTCGGGCTCTAAGCGGAGCGATCAAGTTACGTAAGTCCGGAATGAGCTTGGCACAATTGGATTACATATGCACCTCTCCACCCCCAGTCCGCACAAGCAAAGGCAGCCACATCCCCCACGATCAGGCACTGGCTTTGATGTAGGCAGCCAGCTGAGGGGTGGGGGCTGGAGTGGGACCCCCCAGAGCGGAGAATTGTCCTGGACTTGAATGACTGTTCCTTGCTCAGAGAAAAGAGAATAATAATAGGGCTTATTTGCCATCTTTTCCTCCTCTCCATCTGTGGGAGCGTTCTTCCTCAGAAACAACAGACAGATCTTCCAACTTCAAGTCCTGGCCTCTCCCCCCCATTTAGAAGCCAGAGAAGAGAGTTGAATTGTCCCTGCAGGGATGCTTTGGGCACAGAGCGACTTCCCAGGAAACAAGAAGGAGACGTCGTCCTCTGTGCTTCTGTCGACAGCCTGGGTCTGCATCCCTGGCTTCCTTTTAGCAGATGCACCCGCCCAGCTGGACAGCTGGAGGGGACACTTTCCCACATTGGAGCCAGGGTGACAAGAAGTGGAAATGGCCACTGATTTCCAAGGCCCCCTCTCCTGCTCGGAGGCCTTGCTGAAGCTCCATGTGCACTTTCCCAGAGGCAGGAGGAAGCCAAGCAGCGGACAGAGCAATGGACCCAGGATGCATCTGAGTGCCCGTGGGCGCCTCTGCTCCCGGTGGCAGGGGCCTGGGGCCAGGGCCATGAGCACGCCGGCCTCCGGCCAAGCTGGTCTCACACCAGCAGGAGCCCCACCAGGGTCCCTCCCCCTCCTCCCAGAGCCTCCTCCTCCTGGGCCTCACTCTGCAGCTCTGCTGCTGACAGGACCCTGGTGGTGAGCCAGTAGGAAAGAGAAGAGCATCTGGCGGGGGTGCGCTGCCCGGCCCCTCCCACGGCCTCTGGTCGGGACATTGGCCTGCGATGCGACACCAACACCGTCCTCCTGCCGGAGGTCGGCTGCCGGCTTCCCGGGGCGGAGCTGAGAGCTGTTCCCTTGCCCTAGTTAGAGCCAGAGTGCTGCGTGGAAGGTGTTCCAGCCTCCTCGTCACACACACTCCCACACTCATCCCCACGGGCATGCACAACAAGAAAAATGCACATATTGACACATCCGTGCACAAGCCCACTCCCAGAGACAGATGTGCGATTGTAAATTCATTTATTTATTTAAAGACGACTAGGCACTGGGGAGATGTCAGTGAACAAAACAAAACCTCCTGTCCTCATGAGTGTACATTTTGGTGGGGGCGGGGGGAGAGACAGTAACAACCTAAGTGTGTAAACACCAGACCACCTTGGTAACGAGAGCTAAGGCAGAAGCACAGTGTGGGGAAGGACTTGGGAAGGGATGCGGGGCCCGTGTACACACCTTTTGCTTTGCTCGTAATTAACCGATACTTGGGCCCCTGCTGCCTGCAGGGAAGGGCACTGGACCCCAGGGGAGGATCGCAGAAGGGCTGTGACATGCGCTCCTTGCAAGAGCTCTCAGCCGGGTTAGCGATGAGCAACATCCAATGGGGAGCTGAGCCAGCCCGCTCAGGAACCGTGGGGAGGAGGGGGGACTCGGATGAGTGCTGCTCCAGCCCAGGACGACACCCGGCTGGGGAGGTGAGTGGGATCCCTGGCAGCCCTGATCATGACCAAGCTTCCCCAGGAGGGGACAGTGTCTCGGACCCAGTCCCAGGGCCTGGGAACAGACCTGTGAGGCTGGGGAGAAGCAGCCCCCCACATCCGCAATCACCCAGGAGCCCAGCCTCCCTGGGACAGCCCCTGCCCTGGCCTGGCCAGGCGCGCTGTCCTCGGACCTCACGCTCCAACTGTCTCTGCCCATCACAGAAGGCCCGCCTCGCCAGGATCCGTGTGGCCAAAACAGGCAGCTCCAACGCCTACCTGCACAGCAAGCGCAACGGGCTCCTCAACGAGGCTCTGGAGCTGATGGTAGGTGCCCCGCGGGCCCGGGCTGGGGAGGTAGAGGAGACAATAGGCTTGTTCCCTCTTCCGGGGGCACCAGAACTCCCGCCCCAAAGCCCCATTTTGAAAGTGTGCCCACACCTTCCCCAGGTCGCAGCCCCCTACACACCTCTCGCACGGAACTGTCACCACCACCCCAGACCACTTCAGACCAAGGACTGAGGGCCCCAAGGCAAGCATGTTGTACGGTGGCCCTAAAGCCTGGTTCAGCCGGACCTTCCCGGTGCCCCCCCACTGTCCGTGGAAGGTGAAGGGGCTGGAGAGAGGCCGGGTCCCCAGCCCTGTCCCTGGTCTGTCTCCCCGGCTCCCTAGGGCACCCCGGAGGAGGAGCACGTGGGCAAGACCACCTCCCTCATCGAGAGCCAGCACCACCACCTGCTGCACTGCCTGGAGAAAACCACTGTGAGTCGTGCCCCCGCCCTGCCCCGCCCCACCGCCGCCTCCCTCCTCCCCGACCCCGCCCTCTCTGAGGTCACCACTCCCAGAGAACCCCCTGGCATCCTCATCCTGGGCCAGCGTTTCGGGAGTCGAAGTCTGCCCCCTTCAGACCCAAAAAGTACAGATGAAATCTCTGTCGACCCCAAGGAGAGGGGCGGAGTCACCCCAGCAGGGCCAGCTGTGTCCTGCAGCCCAGAGGAGGCCATTCCCACGGGCTCCCCACACACCCCCACCGTCCCCTGCTCAGGTCTTGGTCACGGGGCTCAGGACTCTGCCCATCAGGCCCCCAGCTCTGAGGGGCATCGCTCTTCAAAACTAGGGCTGCATTTATCACACTCGATTGCTACAGGACAGCAGAGATGAATGTCGGTGTTTGTCCTACCCCTGGGGCTCAGTGGACGCAATTTCTGGGCCCCTGCGCTCCCTCCATTCCTCTTGGAACTGGAGACAGTGAGTAAAGGAGGCAGCGCCTGTGTATTTCCTTCCCCAAACGGGGGTTTGATTATTACCGCTTCCTCTTGTCACCTGCCGTCCCAGGGAGGTCAGGTTCCCGAAAGGCTCGCTGTTCCAAACAGAGCCGTGGTCTAGGGCTTCCCACTGGGGTGCGGAACGATGCCCGTGCCTCAGCGACAGGCCGGAAGGAAGGGCAGTGGGCCAACCCGGACCCGTGGTCCCACGTGTCAAGAATGGTAGGGAGGGCGGGGACCTCGGGGCAGACAACCCAAGTGGCGGATGAAACCCTTTCCTGCTCTCTCTAGAACCTCCCTCCCCAAGAGCCTGCAGTCCGGGCTCGGCACACTAAGGAAGAACCTCCTAATTCTCACGTCCCATATCCCGGCTGCCTCAATGCAGGGGACAGATCTTACATGACACTGTGGGTGGCGGTTGAGCCCAATGAGGACTTCCGGAATGGGGGGGGCGCTCTGAAAACCCTGGTCTCCAGACTCACCCAACACGCCTTAGCGCCAGGCGCTGCACGCATGCGCAGAATCTCTCTCCGAGACTCAGCGCTTGCCCGAGGGGCCGGCGCGGGCCCCGCTGCACGTGCCGGGTGGGGCGGGCGAGGTGATTTGGGTCTGAAGGGCTGGAATGCTGGCCTGGAGGGGGTGGCATGCCGAGTTTGAGGGGGAGAATGTCGGACTGCGGGGATGGGATGTCGTGACGGGAGAGACGGAATGCTGGGTTTCAGGGGGGGAATGTCGGGAGGGAAGGAACGAATGCTGGGTGCGAGCAGGTCCTGCCGGAGCCGGGGGCGGAATGCTGGGCTCCGAGGGCGGAATGCTGGGAAGGGGAGACTGAGTGTCGACACTGAGCTTGGGAATGCCGGAATGTACAATCAATGGTGTTTTTATCTTCTGTTGGCATGTTGTCCTGTAGGGGTTGTCCTATCTTGTGGATGATCCCCTGTTGTCTGTACGAACGTCCACCATCAAGGTATAACTTTTTAAAACTTCAATTGCTGTCTTTCTCTCTGATTCTTCTGAGTCTGTGGATCCTCTTCGCTCACCCTGGCCTGGTTGTCTGCATGTGCTGCTGACTCTTCCGGGGCTGCTCCCCCCGCGCGGTCGCTCCCGGCACCAGCTCGGCTGCCAGTGTGTTGTGAACTGCCCGGCTGCCTCTCTGACTTCCTCTGTAATGTCCCCGAGGGCTTGGAGGGGGCGGAGGAGCATGGCACCAGTGCTGGTACCTGTGAATGTCCAGGGCCACCTCCGGGCCACCTCCCCAGCCCCATGGGGACGCCTGGTATCGGCCTGGGGCTGGTCTCCGAACTTTCTTTCCCCTGCTGCCTCCCTTCAGACTCTCTGCACTCTGGCAGCCGGGCCCAACGGCAGTGCCACAGGGTTTTAGTCGCCTTGGGCAGACAGCCATGCTTCCATTTCTCGGGGGTTCAGCTCCACCCCATCCTGACGGCCTCTAGTCAGCAAGCTGTTAGCTTTCCCTTCCCGTGCTTACCCTTGACCTAGGGAACCCTGTGCCTCCAGGTGTCCATATCCAATTATCAGTGAAACAAAAACCAGTAATTAAATCATAACCCCGACAGTCTGACCCCGCTGGCCTCCAAGAGCAAGCTCTCCCAAGCCTGTGAACAGTCCAGCGCCTTGCAGAGCGTCGGTCTCACGCTCACCCAGGACTCCCACGGCTCTCCCTCACTCGGTCCAGAAAAGACAGACTAGCACACCGCCCACCCGTAGCAGTGACTCCTCACCTGCCACCCCAGGGATCCTGTCCTTGCTTCCAGCTGGGGCAACGCCACCAAATCCCTCCAGGTCCCCAGTGTCCCTTCAGCTCAAAGCTGCAGACGGCGTGTAGGCCCCACCATGATTTAACGACTCCAGTCCCACCCCACCCCCAGCCTGACGGCCAGGGCTACCCACCGAACTCTCTTCCCTTCATCACCGAAGGCCTGTGGGCCCCCAGCCCTCCCGAACGCCTGTCCGGGCCCCCCGGCCTCTGGGAGCCCTTTTCTCTGGGCCTGGAACAGACAGGCGGCCGCCCCGAGCCTGGGGGCCCATGGCCCTCCTCCCTGCATCCTTTGCTACGTCTCCTCCTTCTGCCTCCCACAGAACCACGAGTTCATAGACGAGCAGATGTTCGAGCAGAACTGCATGGAGAGCTCGATGCAGAACTACCCGTCCACGAGGAGCCCCTCGCTGTCCAGCCACCCGGGCCTCACGACCACCTGCTGCTCCCGGCGCAGCAAGAAGACCACACACCTGCCCAACTCCAACCTGCCGGCCACCCGCCTGCGCAGCATGCAGGAGCTCAGCACGATCCACATCCAGGGCAGCGAGCAGCCCTCCCTCACCACCAGGTGGGTGGGTGCCTTCCAGCCGCAGAGCTGAACACTCTCAGGCTTAGAGCCCCGAGGGTCCTCTGGCCCTCCGTCCCCCTCATCCAGTGCACGGGCCCCACCCCCTCCTCCCCCACCTTCCTCTGGTCCCTACACGTTAACCCAGAGGCCCTTCACAAGCTTTGGGGGACACGATAGCCAGCTTAGGCCCAATGTGTGAGTGGACACCAGAAAAAATAGCTCCCCGCCAAAACCCACAAATGACCTACCCCAGTGCAAAGAATGGACCAAGGAAATAATTTCCCCAACTGTGTTAGACGTGGCTCATCCCAGGCCAATTTTGGATCACGGACTTCCCCCTCCTTTCTCTGCTCATATTCAGGCCACTCCCCCACCCCCAGTGAGTTGCAAGGAATTCAGGGAATGCACAGGTCAAGTGCCACACAGGACAGGCGAACCACCCAGTGGAAGGGAGGACGCACACTCTGCGTCCCAAAGCCCGACACCACACCGTGGCTGCTGTCGGTAGTTTAGGCAGAACAGTGAGGGTGGATGCTTACGGGCGGGTCACCAAAAGCAGAGGAGGAGGGACACCGAAAGCTCCTTCTAGTGACCATGAGCTAGAAATGTCGGGGGTCAGGGAAACTCCGGGACGCCAGCAAGAGGCACCGCCCTCGACTCCCTTCTTTTCTGCCGCAGTCGCTCCAGCCTTAACCTGAAAGCAGACGATGGACTGAGACCCAACTGCAGAACGTCCCAGATCACCACAGCCATCATCAGCATCCCCACGCCCCCCGCGCTCACCCCCGAGGGAGAAAGCCGGCCGCCTCCCGCCAGCCCGGGCCCCAACACGAACATTCCTTCCATAGCCAGCAACGTGGTCAAGGTCTCCGCCTTGTGAAACCGCTGCGCAGAGGGCCAGAGTGGGCAGTGGGGGTGAGGAAGGCTGGCGTGTCGGTGGGTGGCCACTGGGACCACTCCGTCCCCTCTCCCCCACCCCGCAGTGATGAAATTTGTGCCTGGGAGGAGCCGGAGGCAGCAGAGGGGCCCCGAGGTCACGGTGGTGGGCACAGCCCTGGGGGGCCACCTCCCCTGGGGCCGCAGGAAGGGGGTGGGTGGGGCAGGGGATGGGACCTTGGGGTGGAGGCTGCTGTGTGCCAGCCAGCGCAGGGCCTGGAGGGGGGGCCAGACTCAGTAACTCATTTCTGGAGACCCCCACGAGAAACATGTGAGACGGAGAGCAGCCCAAGGCCACGGAGTTGTCAGATGCAAAACAGGAAGACAATATAACACTGTGTATTTAAGCACCTTTTCAAGGCTCTTAATGGATAATATTTATTCATGGGAAAAGGTGGAAACAAAAACCCCGACGGAGTTTTGTGAGACATGTCTCTCCATGGACCCGGTACCTTTGAACCAAAACAACGCATTTTGTGAGGGTTGACTTTTTCTTTTTCTCCTTTTATAGCAAAAGCTTTTAGGCTAAGAAATCAGTTTTTGCTGAACTCTCTCTCCATTCCCCCGGGGCGGGGGGGCGAGGTCGTCTGCGCCTGGGCCCCCACCACCCCGCTGACCTGCACAGAGCCGCTGAGTGACCGCACGGCAGCGTGTCCCCTAGGTCTGTCCCCGGCCCCCGTGTCTGTCCCCCTCCGCTTCAGCCCCTGGCTGTGTGTCAGCTGTCCCGCCGTCTGTCTCCACATGGACCCGTGACCCTGAGGTGCACCGGCGAGGCCTCCCCCACGCGGCCCCGTCAGTGCACAGGCAGCTGCGGAAGAGAAGGGAGCGAGGCCGAGAGGGAGGGAGGGTGCAGGGACGAGGGAGGACCCCGCAGGGAACTCAGTGCGCCCGTCCAGCTCAGACAGGGAATGCCTGGCTTTGTCGCACTGGGGTCTCAGAAAAGGAGCTAGCCCACTCTGAGTGTGGGCCAGTGGGGAGGACGAAGACCCCAGGGTCACCGCTGCCACGGCCCCGTGGCTCCCACCACCGAGCCCACCCAGCGCTGTGTGCAGAGCCCCCCAGCACGGTCCTGCGGAGGGCAGGGGCCTGCGCTTCCGCCTCATTGCACGCTGAGCAACGCCGCCCGGGGACCTGGGGGCCCCACAGAGGCCGCGCCGAAGCGTGTGAACAAGAGATGCTGGACGGGCCGTGCCCCGTCTGGAGGTGTCTCGGCGTCTGAAGTCTTCAGGCCTGATGTCCCCGAGGGCAACCGAAGTGGGGAGAAGCCTGATGACCCCCGTGAGAGTGGGCGAGTGGATATTCTTTCTGGGCACCTGGACAGGGTTTCTGTTCCGGTGGCTTGCACCCTGGTGGGGCCAGAACAGCCTTTCTGGAATCCTCTCCATTTTCACTGCTGATAGGGGAGCAGGGGGTCCTCGGGGTGAGTGACTAGCCCCTTCCCACACCCTGTCCCCGCTGCCCGGTAGCACTCTCCCCAGTGGTGGGTAGACCTGTAACTGTGGGCCAGGGACGCTCTGCCCGCTGCCGTCCAGAGGAGGGCGCCAGCCGGGAAGCCGAATGCCCCTTCAGCGGGCTGTCCGGAGACCCCAGCTCTGCTGACCCCAAGCGAGAAGCAAGTCCAGAGGTTACGAGGGGGCACCTAACTGGAGGGCTCCCAGAGCATGGAGGAGGGGGCGCCTGCCCCGTGTCTCCTTTGCTGTCCTCACTGGGCTCGCACGGAGCCCTCTCTCCGGGTCTGGCCTCAAGGAGTTCCCCGACACCAGAACGGGGTGGCACCGGCCCTCCAGGCTTAGGGTGCAAGTGGGTGGAAAAGCTTAACAGCCACAGAGGAACACGCGTGGGCCACACAACCTACACACGCCCGGGAACAAGCAGTTATACCCATTTGCTCATGCGCGTCAGGGGAGGCAGAGGACAGGGCCGGGCCCTGGCTAGCGGCCAGGCAAAGGCCCAGAAAAGGGACTTTTCTGGGAAAGAACGGGTAATGGAACCAAGTGAGGAGTGTCCAGGTATCTAAGTTCGCATCCCCGGAACCGAGTGGGGTAGGGGGCAGAGGTGGGCGGGGACACGGTGCTGCCGCACACAGGCCGGCGTCCCGGGGTGATGGCTGACCCATCGCAGATGACATGTCTGTGCACCAGGGGAGCACAGTGGCCCCCAAAAATCAGTGAACAAATTTTAATAATCACGTCCCAGGGAATTTTCCACTTTTTGACCCTAATGAACTCAATGTTTTGTGTTCCTCTGGCTCCATTTCCGAATCCCACATTATGCCAGTTCCTAAAAAGCCCACTAGACTTTCCCCTGCACCTCCAACCCCCAGCGCGGCCCCAGGCAGGGGCAGGAGACCCAGCTCACCTCTGGTGCAGAAGGTCAGCCCAGGAAAGTGGCTCGTGCACGCACGGAATCCAGCGGACGGACTGCACGCGGCACGCGGAGGCACACAAGAGGGCGGCTGGGCCGGGTCTGTGTAGGCCGCCTCACTCACTGGCCAGTGGCGGAAGAACCCGCTCTCACGGTCTTCCGGGCAATGGCCTTGAACTTTCCGAGTTTATCAACCACTTCCGAGTAGCAGGAGATTCCCAAAACCACCTGCACTGTTCGATCCCACTCAGCATTAGAGGAGGTTAAAAACAAAACAACAACAACAACAACAAAAACCCCACAAAAACCAGAACAATTAGGCTACACTCAGATGAATGGAAACTTAGGAACTAGGGAATAAGAGTGCATCCGAACCAGACGGGGCTGAGGAACCTCTGTAATAGTTGACAGTACAGAAAGCGGAGACCCAGAGGAATGAAATGACTTGCTCAAGGTCAGGCAGTCGTCTCCCGACAGAGCTGGGACGGAACACACGTCCCTGCGCCGTTAGTCTAGCGCTTCTCCGCCGGCCCCTCAGAACCGCCATGCTTCAGAGAAGCCCCGTCTAGGAACACCCGCTCCCGCCGGACACGCAGTCCTGGGTGCACATCGTCCTGCTCCGGCGCAGCCCTCGGAAACCGCCCGGCTGTGCTGCCGCCCGCCGCCCCGGGAGCCGCCGTTCCCCGCGCAGACCTGGCCCCCAACCGCCGGCTCTTGTCGAGGATAGGTGGGCAAGTGAACGGTCAGCCCTCTCCGTGGGGAGAGGCTCGGACGCCATCTCAAAGCATGCCTTCTGCGGTCCCCGTGATCCTCGCTACAGACGCCGGTGGCAGCAGGCCAAGACACTACACCCTTGACGGGCAGAGAGGAAGCGGGCAGGAAGAAGCCCAGTGACTTCTCCAAGTTCACGGGCAGAACTAGGGTCCAGGGCGTAGTAGACAGTGTGTCTTGGGGATTTTCTCCCGCAGCCTCGAGTTGCTCCGAGACGTGCTTGATTTGAATACCTGGATGACAAGGACGCTGACCGAGGGCAAGGCCGCCTTCCGTTCAGAACTGCCCGAGTCATAGCGCCCCCCAAGAGCAAACTGGACGATTCTGCTCTCTTTTCATAACTTGTGTTGAGCTCGGGACCAACTGCAGAGAATCCTGTCCGAAAGGCCAGATGTCCTCCATGCCAGTTGAACACGTTAGTCCACGGCCCCACGCGAGGGTGAGACCAGCAAACAGAAAAGGGAAGTTAAGAAAGAGAATTTGAACAGAAAGTCAAGTGGACAGTTCGTGCTGACCTACATTGACAAAAAGTCCACTCGCGGGTGTGCCGAGGACCTGACCCGGTTCTTAACCTGTGACTCCTGCTGTTCGGGATCCCGTCACTTGTCAGAATATAGGCAGGGGAAGCGCACACTGACACAGGGACCTGGATGTTTTCCTTTCTTCTTTTTTAAGCTGCTGAGGTAGCCATCGCCACTGAGCTAAACTCGGATCCCGAGGTTACGAATGAATCCCGGTGGTCCAGACGCCCTCGCTTCAATGACCAAGAACCACCAGGCAGAACGATCCCAATGCTGGGATCTTAGGTCACTAAGGCAATATTAGTTTCTCTTCTAAACTAGTTGGCATGGTAACCATGACAAATGGGAACCGGGAAGACTTTTATTTTCCCTTTCTGATTTCCTAATGAGACCTCATCACTTGCAAAGTTTTAAAACGACCGGATGAAGGAAGAGCATCGTTATGGCCGTGACCCTCGGAGCCCAAAGAGCATCAGTAGAACTGAGAGAAAGTGGTTATCGGCAAAAGAAACAGCTTTCAAGAGGTTCCTTTCGAGTCCTGCTTCCTCCTCGGAGTGTTCTCTGTTTCTCTCTTCAAGTGTGGGGATGGCATCTGTCTCGGCAGGTCACCGAACTGCGCCGGACGCTGTCACTCCAGCCAGTGTAGGGCCCTGGCCCAAGTCCTGGGGGGGCTCCTTGGACCAACAGACTATTTTACAAACCTGGGAGGTGGGAGGGATGGTCTATTTTTGATAACCAGACATTCCAATGTAATGTTTTCCTTAGAGGTCACTCCCCCCATTCATGTTATCGTGAAAAACATCAAGTGTGTTCTTTTCTATTTTCGTATAATAAACGGGCTTTGCTTACCAACATCACAATGGCAAAGAATACTGTATAAAACTGCAGGAAGATAAACGTGCAAACTTTCTATGAAAAAAAAAAAAAACTCTTTGAGTTTCCTGTCGTCTTCTTTTGCAACTGTAGTGCGTATGTTAAAACGTGTATCACTTACAGTACCGAGTCACGTGCCACCGCTGTACCGGATGTATCCAATCTGGATTAAACTATGTGCCACAAACCCTAAAATGACGGTGTTTGTTTTCATGCCAGTTCTCCTGCTACACACTAGACACCAGGGTAATCGGAACAAAGGGAGGCTTCCAACCTTGCTAGAAATAAGTCAGAGCACCTGAAGCTAATATAATGTACATCAACTGTAGTTGAAAGAACAGTTTTTTTAAAAGATTTTATTCATTTATTTTTAGAGAGGGAAGGGAGTGAGAAAGAGAGAGAGAGAGAAACATCAGTGTGCGGTTGCTGGGGGCCATGGCCTAGCAACCCAGGCATGTGCCCTGACTGGGAATCGAACCTGGGATACCTGGTTTGCAGCCCGCGCTCAATCCACTGAGCTACGCCAGCCAGAGCGGAAGAACAGTTTAACTCAGTAGGTACTTAAACGTCTAGCCCAACCCCCTCACCGGAACCATTCTCACCTGCCTGCTCACCTGCCCCAATGCTCACCAACAGGAAGGCACCTGGTTGCTTGTCAGCAGCTGTGCGTCGAGACCCGGCCCTGTGTTACTGAAAGAAATCCTGCCTTCCTGTGTCGGTCCTGGCTTTGCTAAGAGTGCACGGAGCATGCTGTGCTCCCCCACCTAAGCCCAGCCTCAAACTGGAAGGGAGCGCACACTGAATCGGAGGGCGGGGCGGAGAGCTTGGGAACAGCTAACAGAGGCTCGGGCACCATCACTCACTGACATGACCCCTGGGCGGGCACTGTTCTCTCGGCTTCCCGTTGCTGCTTTGTCTTAAATATGGGGAACTGGATGAGGGACCTTGAAGATCAGCTGTAACCTTAGTGATTTTGATCCGGGCAGTGAGGGCAACTGGCATTTTCATGTCCCCATCACGTGGTGACAACGGGCATCCTTTTAATTCCCCACCACCAGCAGGTCCCAGTCAAAGAAAACTAGCGGAAACGGGACACGAGAACCCACGCCTGACGCCCAGAGGCCCAGGAAGTTGGCTGTGGAGTTCGTTTCACTCACGGATGCTTTTACCCTCATCACCCACTAGGTGTCACTACAGGCCCACAGTGCCAACGACCTGCAGAACCGTAAGGAAATCAGAGGTGTTCTTTTCAAAGCCGCACAGCGGAGTTACCTGGGGCGCGTGCTTGTTCAGAGGCACAAAACAATACACACACTCTGCCCAGACAAGGGATCTTGTCACGGAGTTCCCAGGTCAGCTGTGACTCTCAAAAGTATTTTATTTTTTTAAGATTAACAGGCTTATTCACATTTAAGGGGAAGAAAAAAACCTAAAAATTTCAAACTACTCCCTTGTCTCATAGAAGTTGATCCCCAAGTACTAGAATTCCTCTTTGGTATTCTTTTTTTGGTATTTAGGGGGCTGAAGTTTACCTTTAAACCACGTGTTTTTGAAAGGTTAGTAAACTGTACTGCAATACTTAAACTACTTTGGAAAATAATGCTTAAAATTACCCCAAATCACAGTTTACGTTCTATTTGCAAGCCAGAACCACCCACAGCAGCAGGTCTCCCGGAGACTTCTCGCCGCGGTGAGTTCGGCTGGGCTCAGCGGGACCGGGGTGGTGGTGTGCTCGCCTGCTGTTCTGGGATTCAGAGATCTGGCCCGTTCCCCACACGTGTCCTGACTTCATGAAAGACTCGGTGTTCATGAAATAATGATCCTTCTCCCCAGCCAGAAAGTCTCCTAGTCCAGTTCCCCCACTGTGTCGGTGGGAACTCGGGACCCTGAGGGCCTAAGTGACCGCTACACGTAGAAGAGAGGGCAGCCCCAGGACGAACACTCTCCCTGCTACACCGCAAAGCATTCTCCCATGGGTGCCCCTCACACCTCTCTGTGGTCCCTGAGACAGATGACAGGGACACACACCTGGGGCGACAACTGCAAACCAGTCGTCTCTGCAAGCAAACATCCTGCCATTGCCACCCTCACCCCTGCACCCCTCACGGAGGGAGGGAGGGAGGGAGGTCACAGCTGACGTTTCCCGGGCAAATGCTCATGGAAAATGAAACAAGCAGTGTTTTTATTTAGGTACATGCTCACCTCCAGCTTATTTTTTCTATTAAAAAAAAAAAGGAGCAAACACAAAGTATGACAAACCTAAAGAGAGAATCCAATTAATTGCAAGCCTAACGGGTAACCTCCTTTCTAATTAAGAGGCAGCGGCACCCTAATTAGAATCCCCTGGCTAAGACGAACCATGAACTTGCCTGCACTAAGGGGAAGGGTAGAGAGGGCATGGCAATTACACAGCAACGCCAGGACTTTATTTAAATGCGTAATTAAAGTCTCCACTTCCTAATAACACACTGGGCCTAATTGTGGGTTTGCTATTCTGTGTTAATTAATCCACTCTAATTTGGCAACACCGATCTGGGTAAGGAGACCCTACCCCTGGCCATCCCGATGGGCAGGAACCCAGGTCAGAAGTTCAGGGCTGTGTCATGTCCCTGAGGGACGGCGATCCCACCGCCTCGACCAGCGTGCACACGGGAAAGAAGAGCTTTCCTCTTCCAAACAACACACACAGGACTCGCTCTTCACAAATGCAGCGCACAGAACGGTCTGTGAACCACACGTGTGATCAGGAAGGGCAGCCTCGGAGAGGAAATGAAAGAGTAACTTCCGATTGCATTTCTCTAAATGGCAAGTCACAGGTAACACCATCTCAGAAAAACGACTGTCCCCGGGGACCCGAATATGAGAGGTAGAAACTGGGGAAGAATCTCTAGAAGACACAAGATTAGGACACGCAGTGGGGAGTTTGAGCTGAATGAGTCCCAGCTTCTACCGAGTACTTAACATGACGAGCTGGAACCTTCCTTAGCCCAGCAGCATGCCGGGCGGCTCCTACCCTGGAGGGCCCACGGGCCCCTTGAAACCGCACATGGTTCTTGTTTACAGACAAGACATTTTCTGGGACGAATCTATAGCTTTCATCAGGGGCATAAAAAGATCCCAAGACTAAGGAAGGTGAGGAGCTGCTCCTTTTCCTGAGAAACAGAACAGCCGCCGCCGTGGGAGCTTAGCTGTTTGCTGCGCCGTGAAGACGTGGGCAGCGTTCATAACCTTAAAGACAAGACGGTCGGTCAGGAGATGAACAGTACGTGGACACGTCTGGCCGAGTCTGTGCTTCTACTGGTGACACACGCAGTTACCGCGAGCGAAGAGCATCGAGCCGAGCGCCTCCGGGACGGTCTGGCGCAGCGCTCGCTCCTCCCACCAAGCCTGGCGGGGGCTTCCTGGCCCGCCGTCTCACAGGCCCCCACGAGGACGCGCGCTCCTGTGGGCACGCAGCCCGGGCCTTCGGTAAAGAACCCTGTAGCACAAGCAAACATTTTTCAAACCTCTACACTTTTTATTTTTTCAAGCAAGCAGTAAGTAATATGTCTTTTCAAACGTCTCTGCGTGGAACAGCCGACAGAAGACGGCACCCCGGCATCTTTAGCTCTTAGTCCCAAAACACGTCTCTCAAGAATCTGACCCATGAAGTCTCTTAAAAATAGGTAATATACTTGGTAGGTCAAAACAATCTGAAAAATAAACGTATCTCAGCAAAAAGCCTTAAGACGTTTCAAGTTCCTCCCTGCCCCTCTCCTGTAGGTCGAGGAGGATGGCTACCCGAGGTCCCATCAGTGGCACCTCCAGGCGGTCCGAGGCACGGCCCACCGTCACTGGTTGCCACGCATCATTTCTTGCAGATAAACGGCGTTCATGTGGTAAGCCGCCATCCAGCCCGGATGCCTCTGCGCGTTCCAGTAATACGACTGGGAGGCGGCGGCGTAGTAGTCGTGCCACGCCCGGTAGTAGGCCTTCCAGTACTCCTCGTAGTCCTGACAGGCCCCGGGAAAGCCCGCGCGGCCCTCCCCCTGGCGGCCACACCACTCCTCCTCCGGGGGTTCTGCCTGCGAGCGGTGGGAAGGCCGCCTCGTTTGGCTTCTCCGGCCCTGCTTAGCTCTCTGGGCGGCCCCCGCGGCATGCCTCGCCCTCACCGGGACTTCAGGCGACCCCTGACGCCCTCCTGGATTAGGGGCGTCATTTCCACTCAGGGGCCGCTCCGAAGAGACACGCTCGTCCGCAGGAGTGGGCGCCGAGCCCTTCGGCTGGGCATCGGAAGAGCCTCCCGTGTGCGCCCTGTTTCCCACGCTCCGGGAAGACGTCCGTGAGCTGGAGGAGTCGCTGTCGCTCTCTGAGTCCCCGGACTGGCTGCTACTCACCAGTGCCTGCACCCTCTCGTCAGGAACCCGGCTCCTCACAAAGCCGTTCCGAGGGGTCGCAGGCTGGTCCCCAGGACCCGTGTAGTGCCTGATGATTTCCACGGGCTTCTCCAGCCCCTCCCTAACGTAGTGCTCGTAGTCCTCCACCAGCTCCGAGAAAGTCAGCATGCGCGGCGGGCGGGGTTTAAAGGCCGACAGACAAGGAATCTGGGGGAGCGACACTGCCGAGTCCTCCTTGGCCTGGCGCTGGCCACCGCTGCAGCTCTCAGCAGCAGTCCCAGCGGAACCCTCCCTCTGCTCCTCCGGGTGGACGGCGTGGCCTGGGGCCGGGGGCGAGGCTGCCTTCTCTAGGAGTCCGCCCTCCGAGTGGCTTCTCGCAGGGAGCCTTGGTTTGGTGGCGGGTTTTGATTTGACCGACAGCGCAGAGACGGAGGTGTTTCTACCAGAAGCCACGTGGTTACCATGAGCTTTCTGCGTCTGGGAGGTCCTCTCTGTTCTCTGAATCTGCTTTGTGAGGGTCTGGCTGGGTGCGCTCGAGAAGCCGTGTGTGTGCACGGCTGCTGTCACCTCCACGTCCCAATCCAGACCCTCTTCCATCAGGCCCGGGGGGACGGGGTCTGCGGAACAGAACAGAAAGACTAGCGTTCTCGAGCTGCTCTAGACCTGCATTTTCCGAATGGTTTCAGAACACAAGTATTTTGTAAATCAGGACATAAGCTTAAAGCAATTAACGAAATCAGTAAAAAAATCACAGAATGAGTTATTATAAGCTATTAAGATCCACAAAACTCCCAGACCTGTGCCCAGTCCAGCCTTGTATGAAATCACTGAAGGAGTGTCCTGGGCAGTGTGGCTCAGTGGGCTGGGCGTCATCCCACAAGCGAAAGGTCACCGGTTCAATTCCCAGTCAGGGCACAGGCCGGGTTGCAGGTTCGGCCCCGCTGTGGGGGCACACCTGGGGGGCAGCCAAGCTCTCACATCGTCGGTGTTTCTCTCCCTCCTTCTCCCTCCCTTCCCCTCTCTCTAAAAATAGGTCAATAAAATCTTTAAAAAACATTACTAAAGGAGTTACGTATAAACTGGTAAAATATGAACCAGGGTGTCTGGTAAACCCGAGACACCCTGACTGCTCTGTGGTCGCTGTTATTTTTACTCGGCCCGTCATCGCCACCATTATTAACCTGACAGCAAAGCGAAACAGGCGAACATACCTGGTAACGGCAGAAGGTTGATATTGCACTTCTGGGCGATTTTCATCAGCGTATTTTCCTCTTCTCCCCGGCAGCAGTAGGTCACTGCCAGGCCCAAGGTCCCTGACGCACAGAGAGAAGGCTCAGTAGCAAATCACCTTCCCACGAATGACACCCCCAGTCCACCTGGGTCACGTCACAAATTCCTCCCCCTAAACAAAGCAGTTAAATGTTTCTCTTTACCGAAACGGCCGGCTCTGCCGATCCGGTGCATGTAGGTCTCCCAGTCCAACGGCACATCCAGATTGACGACCAGGTTCACCTTCTCGGCGTCAATGCCGCGGGAAGTCTGGAGTTGAGAAAGAGAGCAACGTCCGTCTGCACGACTGCAGCGTGGCCCCAACGCACGCTACCTCATTCTACCAGCGTTCGCTACCCTGCCCTAGTGCAGCCGGGAGCCAGGTCAAAGACGGGACGGCGTTTAGGAGGAAAGAGAATATTTAGGAGCAAAGGAGAAGGAGATTCATCTCTGTGACTATTTTCAAAAACGAAGGTGAAGATATTAAAGACACTTTCAAGAAGGGTACCCCCCAGCACTGGAAAGACCGCCATCTGCGGGTGTTCCCGTCAGGTGCACCCACATAAAACCGCAGGTGACACCTGAGCACCTGCTAACAGAGCGCGCGCTGAGGGGGAGCGGCCCCCCAGCCTGAAGAGGGAACGCACCAGGTCTGTGGAAATGAGGACTCTGCAGTGAAACTGCTTCAGCTTGGCCATGGCGTCAAGGCGCTGGTTCTGATTCATGTTGCCTGGAGACCCAGAGGAACACGTGTCAAACCCACAAAAAGCAGGAACCGGGAACCCCCATTCTCCCAACCCAACAATGTGCAAACCAAAGGGAAAGTGGTCCTCCTACGCAGATCTACGTTAAGACTAACTGTCAGAAACTTTTAAAACATAGTTAGGCAATCCACTGGAAATTCAAAAACCAATTTTAAATTGTGGCTAAGTTATGCCTACAGATACATTATATTTGTGAAACTTACATACGAAGTATAACAATTGAAAATGCTTTAATCAGCTGTTTAGAAATTTGGTGTTGAAACCTGGTCTATAGTCAAAGTACTGATCCCTCACAAAACAGTCTCCAGTGCCCACGACACACCAAGACTGAACACACAGGCTAACAGGTTGAAGACAAAGCTGTGGTGTCAATCAAGACCCTAAAAAGGATCTCACTGATCAAAAGTTCCTTGAAAGTGCCCTGGCTGGTGTGGCTCAGTGGACTGAGTGCTGGCCTGTGAACCAAAGGGTCGCTGGTTTGATCCCAGGAAGAGCACACGCCTGGGCTGTGGGCCAGGTCCTCAGCGGGGGGTGAAGAGGAGGCAACCACACATTGCTGTCTCTCTCCTTCTCTTTCTCCCTCCCTTCTCCTCTAAGGAGAGATAAATAAAATCTTGAAAAAAAATTCCTTGAAAGTTTTTATTCCTACTTGGCCAGCAGTAATAATTTCACTTTGTATCAAAATGAGTCCCTTTTACCTTCCACAAGACCATAAAACAGTCAGTGTAGGCAGCGAGTCTTAACATTTTAACAATAACAAAAACAAACTTTGTGGACGTAACTCCAGTTTTCTAGTGTTTTTTTTAACATACTAAATTCCTGCTTAATAAAACAGACACTAATACATCAAATCCCAGTGAAAAATGACCCTGAAGTTCTCCTTACTCTGAGGACTCAGCACAGCCTCCCCCCACAAACAAGACACCTCCCGAAAGGGCGGTCCTTCCTCGTGACCCGAGGGAGGCTCCGGGGCAGGGCACGAACCGGGATCCGGGGAAGGCGAACTCACCCGAAATGCACTCTGCCGGAAAGCCTTTAGAAGAGAGGATGTCGGCCAAATGCTTCGCTCTGCGAAAAACAGCCGAGGGTGATGACTTCACAGACACTGCCCCACACCTACCCTTTTATTCCACACGACCCCCAGATGACCTTTGAAGGCACGTTACCTGCTGTGCAAATTAGAGAAGACCAGGGCCTGATTAAACGGAATTCTGCTGAACAGCTCCTGCAGGTGCTGAGCCTTCTCCTCGAAAATCTTATGGGCCAAAGGGTAGGAGCTGACAACCGCATAGTACTGCTTCAAACCTGCGGAAGGGGGTCTCCTGTCAGGCAGACGCCTCTGCCACCTCCCAGCGGCCTGCACGAAAGCTCCCAAGCAGCACGAGCCGGTAACGTGAGCACCCAGTATCTGCACGCACCTAGGAGACTTGGGTCGCTCGAGTTCAGTCTCACGAAAGTGGGGTCTCTCATGTACCTCGCCAAAGCATTAGCCAAAAACTCCGGGTAAGTAGCCGACACGGCCACCATCTGCTTACTGGCGGGCAAGGAAGAGTAAATCCAACTGCAAAACAGAAGAGGGACGACGCCGTGGAAGCTGTTCCGACCGCCGCCTGGAAAAGCCAGAGGCAGACGACTGTGGGCACCGCGGCAACAGTCGAGTCAGGTCTTGTTCTTACTTTATTTGCTCCTGGAAGCTGCCTTCTTCTAAAAGCTTATCTGCCTCATCCAGAATGAAGAGGCGTATACTGCCTGGGTTCAAGTAGTCCAGTTCCAGCAGTTGTTTAATTCTGCCTAAATTTCAAGAAAAAAAGTTGAAATGTTTATGACGCACCAAATCCGTGCAAGTCTCAGCCAATGTCGTTCTATTTAAAGGTCGTATGGCTGTCTTTCCTGATCCAGCCCGCGTTCATGCATGCACCAAACCACGAACTAGAAGCCCTGAGTCCCGAGCTTGCCTAAGTCCCTTATTTTCCCCCCACATTTCGTCACCAGTGAGTGTGCAAGACACACCACTCCCACCAGGAGACTTGAACGGCCAAGGCGCTGCATGCTGGCACCCCATCCTGAGTGACTGGGGCCTGAATGATTAAAGCGCACATAACCCCCAGCCCACGGGCTTCCCGCACGTCTCCTCGTCGCCCCGTGCTCCGCAGCCTGACCCAGATGTGCTCTCAGATGTCCTTGGGAAATGCTGCGAGCGCCCCAGTCGCATGGTCTGCCTCTCACGGGTCTAAGGCTCTCCATTCACAATCCTCAAGAAACGTATCTCATCAGGCTGCAATGTTATTGTTGGGTTAAAAGTGTTCAGTTCCCAAAAGCTCCGTTAGGAACAGGCACTGATGTCTTACCGGGAGATCCGACGGCGATATGACACTTTTTAAGTCTGGTTTTGTCCTGAGACAGTGGAGTCCCGCCAATGAAGACGTGGCACTCTAAGCCCTCCATCTTTATGCCGATGGCGGTGATCACAGAATGTATCTGCACAGCGATTTCTCTCGTAGGAGCCAAGATCAAAATCTAAGAAAATGCAAAATACACCAACGCGTCGGCAAAACGCGTCCATGTGAGTGGCACATCGCATCATGAACTACTCTTCCCTTGAGCCATCACTGTGTTCATTCGACAAACATTAAACGCGCACCCACTGTGTGCCACGCAGCACCCAGTCCCCACACAGAATGCTCGCCTCGCTCTAAAGGCACTTTCCTTCGGGGACAATGAGAAGACACACAATAAACACACACATGAATAATTGGCGGGGAATTAAAAGTGCTATGAAGAAATAGCAAACAGGGAAGAGAGGAAGAAGCAACAAAAAGGAGTCATTTTAAATGGGGTGATCGCAGAAGGCCCCTCTAATGTCTGAGCAGATGCCCAGATGCACATCCCAGACCAGAGCTGGCCATGTGACCCTCGGGGAAGTATTTTCAGGAAGAGGCAACAGCAAACACAGAGACCTGAGAACAACAGCGTGCTTGGTGTGTCTGATCGGAGGGCCAGCAGGGAGGCCCACGCGGCTGGACAGAAGCACAGGAAAAAAGGTCAGAGACCCAGCTGCGGGGGCAGGTGGTGGAAGGCCCTGTGACTCACAATGAGAGCACTGCAATAAAACTGAATGGTCTCAATTATGAAAAAACAAAAACAAAAAACGCGCTGGCTGGTGTGGCTCAGTGAGTTGAGCACCAGCCTATGAACCAGGGGTCACAGGTTCAATTCCTAGTCCAGCACATGCCTGGGTTGCAGGCCAGGTCCCCAGTTGGGGGCGTGAGAGAGGCAACCACACATTGATGTTTCTCTCCCTGTCTTTCTCCCTCCCTTCCCCTCTGTCTAAAATTAAACAAATAAAAATCTTAAAAAAAAAGAAAAAGAAAAGAAAAAACCACTTAACAAATAAAAGACTAGGAGAAACTATGCCAAAACTGTTCACAGCGCTTTCTGTCTGGGTAGGTGAGATTATACTTTGTTTTCTGGTCCTTCTTAATTTTTCTGAATTTTCCCAATTTTCAAAAATGAATTATGTGTCACTTGGGTAACACAAAGATCTTAAATTTTTAGAAAATACAAATTGTATTTATGGGACTTATTCAGGGTTTTGACAGTTGACCAGCTGCTAAATTATCAGAAGCCTATATCTGAACTACATCCCAATTCACATGCAGAACAGCCCAGGTCCTTGGGAAGTAAAAGGATTACCTGTGTCAGCATCACCCAGGATTTGGCGGGTATAAGGTAGGACTCAAAAAGCTTCACAGACCCTGAGTGTGGGTTTTGGGATTAAAAACCACTGTTGCAGAACCGTCATGCAAGATACATGACAGAGAACATGGTGTACAGTCGGTCCCAACCACTAACCACAAGGTAAGACTGCGAGGAGCATATCTGAGACATCTTTGCATTCCCAAACCCTGGCAGACTGTTCATACTGTTAATATTGTGGAGCCCACAGCTCCACAAACCTTCACTGAAGGAAAGGTCCCCAAAGCCAAGTCTCCTGTTACCTGAGGTAAGGCCACCTGAGACCTACTCCAAGGAACCTAGAAGATGGGAGACCAATGATCCATTCAGGGAACGCTAAGAACCACCTGCGGTGACAGAGAATAGCCAGGGCACCAGGCTGCCCTGAATCGGGGCAGATGCTCAATCTCACCACCATGTGATCAGCAAGTAAAACAGAACCTCAGTCTGTATTCTCAAGTAAGACCACACTGACACATGTTAACATTCTATTTAAGACACAGTAATAATAGAAAATTCCAAGCTTCTAACGCAAGTAATGCATACTCGATCACCAACCACACCACCCCTCAATGGCCTAATGTCTGTCTTCTACACTTTGCACGTGGCTTAACGGAATCATTCATCAAATCTGCATGTATCTGAGGAACTACCGGTATTTCATCCTACTTGTGATAAAATCCACCCTAAGGCACCCTCCTCTGGGTCCTCCCTCTGAGCTAAACTCACCTGGGTGCTTAAGTTTTCAAGAACAAGAGAATCCAAAGCAATGGTGGAGAAGACACACGTTTTCCCCGTGCCAGACTTGGCTTGAACAATTAAATCTGAAGAAAAAAAAAAGTTATCACTAGACAGTACTGACTGAAGATGCTTAGGTACCAAACATGAATCACAGACCTACTAGGGTCTCCAGAAATCACCTAGTTGGCACCTCCACTTTTCGTTAACTCTCAAAAACGCATGGCCATACCCAGAAACGTGCCTCGCCCCTGAACCTCTGCCGCTTATCTTCTCAAACTCAGAACCACTTGTCCGTGTGGAGCGAGCCTTAACTATGTTTAAACTCAATACTGCGGCTCCGTTTTACAAGAGAGGGAGCTGGGGCTCGAACGCGTGCAAGGCCGAGCCCCCGGCCCACAGCCCTGCACCGGCGACCGACCCGGGGCTTCCCCAGACCACGCCGCCGCCACCCGTCGGCCCCCTCGGCCTCTCCGGGGTCCCCGCCCTCACCGAGCCCGCAGCGCCCCAGCGGGATGGCCTTGAGCTGCACCGGGGAGGGCCGCTCAAAGCCGGCCGCCCGCAGACCCTCCAGCACCGGCCGCGACAGCAGCAGCGACTCGAAGTCGGCGGGCTCCGCCAGCAGCACGTCCCCCGTGCGGGTCCGCGGGCCACTGATGTCGTGGGCCATCCGTAGGCTCCGCACCGGCCCGGGGGTGGGCTCCGAGACGGGTGCGGCCACATGCTCCGCGGGCACAGCGGTCTCCTCGGTCGCTACGGCTGCTGCTGCTGCGGCTTCAAACGCCGCCGCCATCGTAACCGCACCGCGAGATCTCGCGGTACTTGAGGAGGGTCGGGGAGCCTGAGAGCGAGAAAGAAAAAAAACTTTATTAGCACTCGTCCCGCGACGACACTAACACGTTCGGCCTGGAAGAGGTGGGGAGGGACGGGAGTCGGAGGCTTACACCCGGAAACAACTACAACAACCGAAAAAGTGTGGCCTGAGGAGGGCGGAGGCGGGAGAGGAAAGGGGAGGATACCGCTATGTCGCCGCCTGCGGCCTGCAGGGGGCGCCGCGCGGTCACGGTGGAGCCGCCGCTCCGCCTCCCGGCCCTCTGTGGGCGGGACCACCCAGCCCTGCGCCTGCGTCACCACCCTCACAGTGCTGTCACTGTGATGCGCGTCACACGTCACGCTTCGGGCCTGCCTACCCTGGCCCCCGCAATCACCACCCCTTACCCTTCTTCTGTTCCCTCTTGCCGCCGCCTCTGTGCCAGCGGCGCAGGGCCCGCGGTAGAGCAAGACCACGTGCTCTGGCGTCTGTTCCTCGGACCGATTCATTCATCTGTGCGTCCCAGCCGCTAGTACCCGCACGCAGTGAGCTCTAATGCAATTGAAGCCAGGAAATGGACCGTGCCCTCTCAAATTCATATCTCCGCCTCCAAACTCTAGGCTCGGACATCCATCCACCTTCTCAACATCTCCACATGCATGCCTCATAGACATCTCAAATGTAATGTCTTCTGTGTGCTGCTTCTATCCCTCCCCACCTCACCCCCGTGTCCCCCCCAAGGGTGGTAACTTAGTTTTTAACTGCCTTCCCTAGCTTGAGGTCTTTGCTCAAATAGCAGCTTCTCAGAGACTTTCCTGAACACCCCAAATGAGCTCTCCATCCTGTCGGCTCCCCGTCCTTCCCCATCACTCTGTACTCCCTTGTCTGCTGTTTTTCTGCATGGTACTTGTCACTGTCTGAAAGTCTACGTGTTTGTTGTGTCTTCCCCACTCTGAAGACAGAGACCTAGTCTGTGCTGTTGTCTGCTGCACCTCCAATGGAAAAGAAACAATCTGACACATAGTAAATGCTCAGTATTTATTGCATAAATGATTTCCCGTAACAAAGTTGAAGTCATAATTCCATTTCTGCAACCTAATCTTATTCCCAATTTCAAATTTAAAGAAGTTCTACATCCAACCTCAGTGTGTTTCTTTGTATATTATAATCCTGGTCATCGTGTTTCAACTGGGTGCACATGCACAAACACACACAGTGGCGACCCAGATTCCAAACCACAAAGGAGGCTTTGGTGCGGTAACCTCGGTGAAAGGGGCTCCTGGAGACGCATCTTGCTTAGAATTAGAAAACGATGAGAACATTTCAACTGTCCATATGAAAGAAGGGGGACCCCTGGGAGTGGACAGACGAGGTGCCAGGCTTCCTCTTAGCACCCCACCTCTCTTCTCCACCCAACCCCCAAATCCCAAGGCTGGGAGTTACTCTTGATTTCACCTCTCCTGTCTCTCTCCCTTTCTAACAATTCGCTGAACACAGGTCATCGTGTCTCCAAACATTTCGTCTGTTCCTCTTCTCCAGTCTCCAAAGCACCTGTCCCATTTTAGGTCCCTGCATCCTAACTACTGCCTCAGCCTCTTGAATGGTCTCCCTGCCAAGTTTCTTCTCATTCCCCGCCACCCACCCCACAGGTGCGCACAGGTGCTGGAAGGATTTTTTAAAATATTTTATTTATTTTTAGAGAGAGGGGAAGGGAGGAGAAAGAGAGGGAGAGAAATATCAATGTGTGGTTGTCTCTCACGCACCCCCTACTGGGACCTGGCCTGCAACCCAAGCATGTGCCGTGATTGGGAATTGAACTGGCCACTCCCTGGTTTGCAGGCCCGTGCTCAGTCCACTGAGCCACACCAGCCAGGGCTGGAAGGATTTTTCTTAAGCGGATATCTTAGGCTGTTTGGGTCCAGCCTCAGATGCTGCTCCTTGGACAACCTTTTTTGCTTCGCTCCCCGGGCTCCCCTTTCACACTGCAGATCATTCCAGCCTGGCTCTGACTGTGTTCTTGTTCCTTGTTCCCATGTCTGTCCCTCACGCTAAGCAAACTATCAGCTTCTCAGAGAAGGGAATTTTTGTCAAGGCAGCACCAGGCCCTTCATGGACCTATAAACATTGATGGAGTGGCTGACACTTTCTTTGCTTAAAAATCCCTCCTGGACTCTGGCTGGTGTGGTTCAGTGGATTGATCACCAGCCTGCAAATCAAAAGGTTGCTAGTTCGATTCCCAGTCAGGACACATGCCTGGGTTGCAGGTCAGATCCCCAGTTGGGGGCGCTCGAGAGGCAACTGATTAATGTATCTCTCGAACATCGATGTTTCTCTCTCTCTCTTTCCCTCCTTTCCCTTCTCTCTAAAAATAAATATGAAAAGTAGATAAACTTGTTACATCAAGTTTATCAAGTAATAACACCTGGGCAGAACTTATCACATCATGCCCCTGCTTAATCCTAAGTGGCTAGGACCCCACGTGGAGACAGGTGTATTTCCAGGGGCCCCATGGCCTAGGGGTACCTTTCCACACAGGCATTCAGGCACCTGTGCTCTGGGCAGCCAGTCTCGCCGTGGCGACTTGCCTGGCTGGCTTTCAGCACGGAGCCCCAGGCCATCCTCCCTCTCTCCAGACCAGACTCCCCCCCCAACACCCAAGGCCCACATTGATTAATTGCCCCCATTTAATATCACAGCCTCAGTCTTTAGGGAGGAAGGCATCACGTTCGCTCTCCTCCTGGTGAGAACGGGGCCCAATTCATTCCTGTCCGGGCAGCATAATAAATAACCTACCCCTGTTGGCAGGGATTTTATTAGAGACTGATGGGACATGTAACAATAACTGGGGGCCTGTGATTTATTAGGTAGGGAGGCTCGTGGCGTCTCTGAAGACCGGGAATGTGGAATTTAATTGATAAAGCGGCTGTCAGCCGCGGTGAGGTGCGCTCAATAGGGTATGCGTTTGAGGGATTCTCTTTGGAGCTGTCGGGAGGGTTTCTACTAATCACATTCGACGCCTGAGGGTGACGGTGTCTGCTGGCTATCTGGGGGAGACAGGGCTGGGGGGGGACTCCGAAGGGGGCCCAGGGCGGGGAGCACCTGCCAGTGGCCCAGCCCGATGGGAGAACGTGACACAGATGAGCACAAGGCAAAACAGGTTTCACCTTCAGGATTCCCGTGACCCTCAGGAGGCCTTTGTTGCTCTTCCGTGAGCTGCCCACAAAAAAAGGTGCTGACCACCCACTTCCTGGGAAAGGAGGGACTTGCAAGGGTTAAATGGCCAAAAGAGAGATTTGTTCTGGAATTCTAAACTCCCTAAACCCAGAGGTTTCTGCACCAGAGAGCCCCCCTGCCTTGCTCTCCAGCCCCCGGCACTTAAACACACAACATGCCCTCCCACACAGTCAGCCTCCTTCCGCCCACGCACGCCCACGGGTCACCCACACCCACACAGCCTCCCTGGAGCTCCTGGTTCAGGCGGCCGCTCCTCCCGTCTCTGCAGGGGGTGGTGCCAAGAAGAGAGCCACAGAAGCTCAGAGGGATGGAGTCTCACCTTTTTTTTGTTGATGTCCCCCAGCTGCGGAGACCCCAGAATCCAGGCTGAGCACCTGGAAGTAAGTGTTGGTGGTCTGGCGCTGGAAGAGCACACAGCTCCCTGACCCTCTGGCCCACCCTCCCGCCCAGGCCCGAGGATGACGGAGATGGGTTTTATCGCCCCATCGGCGATGGCACCGATGATGGCACGGCTCTGTCCTCAGGCAGCCTCGAGCCTTTCCCAGGTGGCTCTGCTCCCATTTTCTGTCTCCGCCCCCCCCCGCCACCCCCCCTCAAGCTGTCACTCAGCCTTAAACAAGGCCAGGGAAGGCAGAGAGGGGCTTGCTCAGGCCACAGCCGCTTCCCTCCTTTGATCCCCTGCATCTATTCTTAGGTCCCAGGAGACCCGTCCGCCTCCCCAGTCCCTCCAGGGACAGGAAGGGAGGGGGAGGCAATAGCCAGGGAAGAAAAAGTAATTGTCACTGTCTAATCCGAGCCTTAGTGGTGACACTGAGGGACCTCTGAGCAGAATGGATACAGCAGCGGGTTTGATTAAATCAAACCTCTCCCGCAACCTTGTGAAATTAAACTGACAGGCGGGGAAGAGATCAGGGCGGGCAGAGCGATGATTGTCGCCTCAGGTGGGGGCGGGGGAGGCCCAGAGCCAGGACGGTGGGAAGCCCAGGTGGCAGCAGAGCAGCCGGCTGCCTGCTCCCCCCAGTTGCCGACTATCGAGAGGAGAGGAGACTTATGGGTCGCAGATGCTCATGTACCTGTCGGAGCACAGGTGGTGAAACTGACGCCCAGGCAGCTGCCGCCCTGCAGGCTCCGAGGATCCCCTTGGCCGGCGCACCTCCCGTTTGGTTTGGAACAGCACTCTTGACGTGTCGAAGAGCCTGCGTACGCTTTCCCTTCACAGCAGGCGGGCAGCAGCGGGACTATTCGCCCCAGTTTGCAGTTCGAGAAAATGAGGCATGGAGAGCTTACAGGCCCACCTTGGGGCAGCAGAGCCAGCCCGAGACCCCAGGTCCTCTGCCCACGCCGGTCCCGGCCCACGCCGCCTCCCGCACTGTGCCATATGGCAGAGTTTCCCAGATTTAGTCCCTGGACTGTTGCCCCTTCTCCCACCCACCGGAGAGATGTAAGCCGCACAGCTTGCGTTGCGGGCCATCGGGAACATGCCGGTTCTCAACTGCCTCCGTGCGGCCCACCTGCAAAGCACGCGGCCAGTGTCCCAAGGTCACAAGGCCGTTCTGAGGTGCTCGCACGCCCCTCCCACATGCCCAAGCCCTTCCAAGTCATTGCCACTCTACCTAATTACAGTTTTGGGGAGCGCAGTGAGATATTGTCAGCAACACCAGCAAACGGCAACTGTAGACGAAGCACAGCGATACCCTGCTGGCTCCCTCACCTGTCACCCAGTTCCTCGCCTGCCAAAGCTAATTTTCCACTCCCCAGTGGGTGAGAACTCATTTCAGGGTGTCTGAGTCACACACGTGCGCACACACATGTGGATTCCCAGCGCCGCTGTGGACAGAGTCACGCCTC